GGTATATAATTTTATAATATAAGTAACATACGCACTGGAATGGGTTGCCATTTCCTCCTCCAGGAATAACTTAAAGTAATATTCTTAATTTTTGGTTTTTATATTGACTTATATATTAATTGATACCAAATCAGTTGTCAAATTTTTGAATATGACCCCTGCCCCTTGCCACCCCATTAGCATAATCAAGAGGCAGATTAATTGAGGCACTCATGACCCTGACTAAAGTGGAGTAACCTCAATAAAAATTGCAATAACATTTTGCACAGTACATTCTCAAGGGTTTAAAATACAATGTTAAAAGTTTCATTACAAATTATAAGGCATTACTTTATATTGCATTATCATATTTTAATGAAATCAGGTCTCTTCTCTTTACAAAGTATTAAATCTTAAATATTTGATGTGGAGATTGTAACATTCCATTTCATTGAATGTTCCTGATTTGGAAAGTACCAGCAAAAAGAGAGTCATACACACACACACACACACACACTCACACAAGAGGAAGTGAAGGGTATTCTATGTGTGTTGGGTTCTATTTGAGGCAGAGTACTTCATCCAATTATGGTTGTCTCTTTGCCACTCACTCCAGGCCAGATCCTGAATGTGCAAGAAGTGAAAACAAACCTAGATAAGAGGTAAAGGGTCAAGAACAGAAAGGAGGTGTACAGGAAGAATTTAAGTGTAATTTTCTATTCACCTTAGCATCAAAAGAATTTCAAGTAAGTTTCATTCATGTAATCTGGAAAAATGCTATTGCATTGCTAATGAGAGAATAGTAAGTGACATACTAGAGCAAATCAGCAAATTAGAATTAAAAAGGTAAGAAAAAACTTTAGAATAAGAAAATGGGAGAAGAGAATTAAATAAAGCAAGCTTTCAGAAAGTCTCAGATGGTAAAGAATCTGCCTGCAATGTGGGAGACCCAGGTTTGATCCCTGGGTCTGGAAGATCCACTAGAGTAGGGACTGGCTGCCCACTTTAGTATCCTTGCCTAGAGAATTCCATGGACAGAGGCTACAGTCCACGGGGTTGACAAAGTGTCGGACATGACTGACTGACTAACACTAACACTTTAGGAAGAAAAAAGAAATAAACTGAAAAGGATAAAGATTAACACAGAAATATTGACTGAAGTCTTTAGTTTTCTTGCATACTCATCTTTGGTGATTCATTCCTCAGCATGTGGAAATAAATTTATGAAATAAGTTAATATTTCTCCATGTATATATTTAATTTATTTTTTGTTTAAGGATAATTGCTTTACAGAATTTTGCTGTTTTCTGACAAACCTCAACATGAATGGGCCATAGGTATACATATATCCCCTCCCTTTTGAAACTCCCTCCCATTTCCCTCCCCATCCCACTGCTCTAGGTTGATACAGAGCCCCTGTTTGAGTTTCCAGCCACTATAGAAGATGGTATGGAGGTTCTTAAGGAATCTAGGAATATTTCTCTGTATTTTTTAAAGTTTTAAAAAGACTGATTTGAAAGAAAATATAAGTGGAAAGAAACTCTTTCAGTATTGAATGACAAAAACTAATGTGATTGCATGTGTGTGTGTATAAAACTTCACATTTGCTCTTAGCTATAGTTATTTTTAATTAATTATTTTATGAGGAAATGGATGAAGAATTGTACTCCTAAGTAAAAGAAACAACCATTAAGCACCACAAAAGATCTTTGAGATCCAATTGTCATATGAACCTCTTTTCTGTGTAATTCATTGGATGGGGTCTCTGCCAAGGCTGTTAAAAACCTGAAATGCCTGTTTAACAAATTCAATAGTTTGTTATCTTTTCTTAGCTCTGTTTGTTGACTGGAGTTCAATACTTGCATTCATCCCAATTTATTTCTCGGGATTTAGATTGGTGGAGAAGCACTGATAGGATCTCTGACAGTGGAGTCAGTTACTCTCCTGTGATAAAATTCCTGGTTGATCGATGCTCTTTTATTTTTTCATTTAGCAATCTTTCTGTCTTCCTTATGTATTCTCTATCACAGGACTGCCATGATTCTAGGTTTTCCAAACAATCTTCTTTTCTTGCACTTAAGCAGAGACCTTTGTTTTGTTCCATTAGGTACAAATTTCTAAGTCTTTTTTTCTTGATCCTTTCTAAGAGATTGGTGCTGAGAGAGAAGGACATTAATTTAAGTAGAATAATTCTACAGATCTTTATGTTCTTCTGATTTTTAAAAAGTTCAATATATTTTAAAAATTGAATTTCTTTTTTCTCTTCTCCCAATATAATTACTCTTTTTCCCCTTGCACTAGAATCTCTGATCTTGGTGGATCAGGGTTTCAAGAGAAGCAAGGTCAGCAAGTGTCAAGAGCAACCATTCCTTTATTAGGTGCTTTTCCTTTTTTTCTTTTAATTAGACAGGTGTTATTTTTGAGGTTTTTTTTTTCCTTCCAGGCTTTTGAGGCATATGGAGGAAGTCATTAATGGCGTCTCAGTAATGAGGAAGCTTGCTCTCTCCACCTTAGAACCAGACTTCCTGTGTGGCTTGATAAGGCCAGTTTCCAGCTGATCCTTTGATATCAACTAAACACTCGCATGATGACGTTGAGTACATACGTAAACATTTACTGAGATTTAGTAGCTAAATAGAAGAATACAGTTTGATGCAACAAAAGTACATTGTGGTTTTTGACTAAACGTATTGTAATATTATTGAGCAGAGGAGGTAATGTTCTTTTTCAGGGGAAGGTGTTAATTACCACCAAGAAGAACTAGATATGCAAAAATATAAGAAATATAGTTTTTTTTGTTTCAAATATTGTAACTTTTATGGTATATTAATTGAAGTAATTTTCAAAATAATCTTACTAGAGAAGCCCCATATTTAAAATAGTACAATAGCTCTTACATAATTTATTGAATTAGTGCACACTTATAAAAAGAAATATTTTTATATATTCATAACATATGGCAGGGTCTGTTTATTCTAATAACCAACTAATTACAATTTTTGACATTCATAATAACTATGATGTATTTTATAAAAGTTTTACAAAATACCTTTTTCCTAGATAGAGGATCTGATTAAAGCTGACTGGATTTTTTTAAAAACAGATTTTTAGAGAAGTTTTTTTACCCCTCTTCTAACATTATTTGAACTTAAATTCCTGTCCTTTGTGTTATTAGGGCAAGCCAAAATTTCCTTTAACTACTTCAGAGCATTTTAGAGACATCTACTGGAAAAGCACATTATTGCAAAGTTTATAAAATTGTCTTAGAAAGTATATCATTACTGATATTTCAAAACATATCTTGGATACCACATCACAAATCTAGGTCACTTTGTGAAGAGAAGCTTGCTGACCCTCAAGAAAGGTGTAATAAATGTAAAATATATAAAAATGTTACTTTGACACTGGACTTGGTGCTCCTTTTTCTTCCCAACAAAACTCTATTCACTTACGATTTTTAAAACTTAGTTTCTTCTTAAGAGTGTGACTACTATTTTAATAGCTAATCTAGAACTTCTTACCAGAATTTTGATTCTCTGAGTTGCAGCAAAAAAGAGCATGTGTGGAAGATTAGTAATAATATAAATAGTATGTTGGAGAATAAGACCACAGAAAGAAATGCTCCATGGGTTTTTTTTTAATGCTCTATTTTATATTGGTGTATGGGTGATTAACAATGTTGTGCTAGTTTCAAGTGTACAGTAAAGCGATTCAGTTATACATAAACATGTACCTGTTTTTCTTTTCGAATTCTTTTGCCCCCATGGATTTTGGATCACACATCCTTTCCTAACAGGTTGGGGACTGGTCTAGTGAAAGAGAGAGAGACAGAAAAAGAGAAGGGCAGAAAATGAAGCTGGAGAAATAAATGAGAGTATAGTTGCCAGCAATTCCATTTTCTGATCTATTGATTATATATTTAAAAAGACTTCCCTAGATGCAGCAGCAGCAGCAGTGCAATTTAAGTTCAAATTGTTATTTTTTCTATTATGAAGTTAATTTTGTTGTGGGAAGGAAAGTTGTGGGGAAAGAAGAATTTATGAAGTTCGTGTAATATTTTACAAATTTTCTATGAATAAAATAATTCCCTCCTGTTGTAAAGGACTAAAACGGAAGTAACTGTCATCGTACCTACATAACCCGGTTATTTCAAACCCTTGAGGGCTCTGAAGGGATTTAAAGAATGAATCAGCCACACTGATTGTTCTTGCCATATTTGGAGCTGCTTGTCACATGAGACAGCATTGAGAGTGCTGTCAAAGGAAACCTGACAATTTTCTCTCCCACATATGAATAAAAGACTGTTGGCACATATATAAGGTGTGATGAAAAGGGGAGGAGTACCTTGGTGTGTAATTGGGTAGGAATCAGAAGGAAAATGTGTGCATTCCCCCTCATCCCCCAGCCGCTGCCCCAAGGATAGATGAGATAATGAAGAGCGGTTCAAGAGACAAAGGGACACAGAATTTCTTGATACTACCAGTGCATCAACTGCACTAATGAAAAATTCAACAGCTTTTATGTACTGCAATAAAAGTGAAGACTGGGATGGTCAGGATATCGTAGGGAGCAACAGCAGGTTCCCTTGGAATCACAGTTGTATTAGGGTTGATTGTATGACAAAATGACACAATGGGCACATCTACCATCAGAAAATTATTCCTACTATAGATTTCAGTGGAAAGAAGACCTTCCCACAGCAGATACCTGCATAATTCTAGTTATAGCATTGTGACAGAAAGTCGGAGTCAGAACTGTTGTGGGATGTCTTTGTTAATGGGGATTCAAGATAATGATTTGTGAATCTTGTATTAAAGGTATCCACAGGTTGCTTCCATTATACCAGGAGGTGTTGTTAAAAACAAAGCAAATCCCATTTGGATTCAGTTTAAATATTTCATATAATACTTTGAAAAAAGGGAAAAAGAGTACATAGTAGGTATTCAAAACTGTCAACTAGTTTTTTTTTTAATTGTGTGTGTCTATTTATAATGATGGAATTCTGTGTTTTTTCCTCCTAGGCATAAACAGTCCACCTTTAGTGATTAATAATCCATTAGCAGGTTTAAAAGGAAGAAGCATGAAGGAACACAGTCCTCATCAGCTGGAGACCATGACAATCTGTGACATACAGACTCCTCTTCCTGCTACATGTCTGCATTCAGTCCATCAGGTACGATAGGACGTGGAATGACATTCAAAATTTCTAGAAGGGTATATTGTAAACTCTTCTGAACAAACACTGAATATTTAAGAAATGCTAATGGAATTAATAATCCTAAGGATCTTTTTTTCATAAGAAGAAAAATATAAAAACGAACTGTAGACTTTAGAAATAGAGTACTAAATGTTCTTCAGAACTCTTAACCATCTGACACACACAGACTATAAACAAATATGTTTTATCACAGAGAGTATGTCTATGTACCTGATGGAAATCAGAAATCCTTTGAAAGCTGGATCATATTTTGAGTGTTTTTAGACCATGCTAAATTACCTTGTTTGCAAATATTTTTGGTATAGGTGATATTTTGCTTAAAACTTTTACCTGATGCTATACTCTGAAGATGTATTAAATAACATTTATGAAATTCAGTCCAGATCCAGAATAAATAGCAGTACAGTGAAATTGCTTAGGATTCTCAATGAATGGGCTAGAAGAACCATATATAATATCCTTAACTAAACTGCAAGTTTCCTAGAGCTTTTATATTACAATGTTCTTTTTTAAAATGTGAATCATAATGGTTTCTCCACACTTACATTAATTTTTAATCACAGTCTCTTACACTGTTGATTGAATTCCCTGCTACCGCTAATGGCCTTTCTTGTAATATTCATTTATTTAAAATATGTATTCTGATGCTGTATTTTATTTTTCAAAGGAAACCTATTTAAAGCCCAAAGCAAAATAATAGTCACATGGATGTTAGACCATAGCAGGTTACCACACATTTGATCAGGCTTGCCACCAGAAAATTTTTAAAGTTTGTTGAAGAATGGCTCTATTAGGATATGTTTCAAAAAGCAGAATTTCACTTATAGATGATATTATTTCAAATGATTGAACTAGAAGATGATTTTATTTTTACATAGGGTCACTTCTAAAGACAGTTTATTTAAAAATATAAAGTTAGGATTTCTGATATTTTAATAAGGCATTGTTGATGCCACAGAGCTAAGGGAAATTAAAATATCTAGACAGATCTCTAATTATTCATCATATGAAACCAATACAAAAATGAAAGAATTTAAAGGATGGCTTATGAAATTTTAGGGTGCTGGAGTAGCTCCCACATTAGGAAGCTCTAAAATAGTAAGTCTTGGTAGTTTCACTGCATGTTAATTTACTTGGGTTCAAAAGAGAAAACACAACTCTTTGGAATCAGTTGCTTATTCTTTAGTAGTTTTATGCTTCTCATTGTGATTATGAAATTGCTATTAGAATATACCTTTTTAAAATTTTAACTGGAGGCTAATTACTTTACAATATTGTGGTGGTTTTTGCCATACATTGACATGAATCAGCCATGGGTGTACATGTGTCCCCATCCTGAACCCCCCTCCCACTTCCCTCCCCATCCCATCCCTCAGGGTCAACCAGTGCACCAGCCCTGAGTGCCCTGTCTCATGCATCGAACCTGGATACCTTTTAGCTGGCATTTTGGTCCGCTGAATCCAGGACAGCACTTCCATTCTAATGAGGTAACAATCTTATGTTGCATCCTGTACACAGAATTTGATATCTTCTGAGATCTAGAGGAGAGGAGCACAATTGGGGGAAAATAGATTATTTGTCTCACATTAAATTATTGGTTGGAATAAAAGTATTTGGGATGATGCCTTTAATATAATAAGCATATGTTAAGTGTTATCTGTTACTCTTCTTATCATAATAATCTTCATATCAATATTACTGTCAAACTTAGAGTTCTTTAAATATATTATAAAAAAACATTAAGGTTTATACTCTTTGGTATTTAAAATTTATACCTATCATTATGTTTTCTAAAGATACCATGATTTTTCCCTTGATAATGCTTTTCACTAAACCAATGTTAAAATCTATTTTGATTCTAATGTTTAAATAGGTTATGGGAATAATTAGTTTTAGTTCTTACTATTTCTTATATCATTAGGATGAAAAGAATCTGTTTTCCTCCAGATCAATATTAAACAACTTGAAACAAGTTAGACATCGGTGATCTGATTAAAAATATGATAGCCACTATGATTTTAACCTGTACTTTCTTATCTCTCAAGTTTTTAAATTATACTACCTATTTTTTCTCTTATATAGTATCTCTCTTAGAGGGAGAGAGAGAGGAAAGAAGCCGGGGGTGGGGTGGAGGGGGAGAGAGAGAAAAGGTTCTAACATGAGAAGATGTTTCTGAGAAGAAGCCATGAAAGGGAAATGAAGAAATGATAACATTTTAAGTTAATAATCAATATATAATAAATAGCAAATAGTACTAAATTGCAAGCTTTAAATATGTAAGTGTAAATCATAAATACAATTGGTCACATGATTCTTATCCCTATGACTTTAATATTTAGGTAATCTTATTAAATGGGTCTGTGAAATTGGTTTGTATTATCTTGTTTAATCCTCATATTAGTTCTATGAGGACAGTATTATTACCCCGGCTTGCTGATGAGGAACCTACTTTTATCTGAATCTGTCACATATGACTATGTGGAGACAACAGTAGTCACTTTCATGGATAAACTCTGATTATGTGGGGAAATGTATTATAACAGGCTGGGTCTTAGTTTCTGTGATAACTTGACGGGTGATTAATTATGTGTGAAATTATTTCTCAATTTTAAAATGAGCTGTAAGACTTCTTCCATCTCTGAAAGTAGGCTAATCATTTATCTGTATTTATTTCTGTAAATTATAATCAGCAAATAACTCTGTCCAGTGAAATAGCATCTCTAGTCCATCAGCTAATGCTAAACAGGGAGTAAGGCAGTTTGGGAAAAGACTCTAGAGTTTATCAGGGTGAACTCAAGCAGTTAGTTGCATTACTGTTGAACTCAACTGCTCCTGCTTTGACAAACTATATCCCTGGTACATGTGGCTCAGACAAAGAAAAACTGACAAATGTTGCATTTGTACTGAAATAGAAAGTAAATGCAGAGATTCACTCAAATGTAGAGAAAGATTAAAAAATGGGAACAAAGATACATATTTCTAGTTTGTTCAAAGAGAAAAAAAAAAGCTTACCTTAAACTCAGAAGGGCAGTGTGATTGGGGTTACTCTAGTAACCCCAATTTTCACTACTAAAGAATTAACAATCCTTTCTTTGTATTGCACATTGACTAGGAAATTGTCATAAAGGGAGTAAATGCCAGAAGAACTGGAGCTCAGGTCTCCCAAATCCCTAAGATGTGCTTAGCTCATTGGACCTTGGACCTTAGCTATGCCCTTAGGGACTAAGAAACACCTTGATTTTATGTATCCTTACTGCACACTGTTCTAGACTGATTCATTGCCTGAGTTATTTGTATGATAATTTGCATAACATTAGCCATCATGGCCTGAATAACAATTTTAGTTTTTATTGCAGGCTTTCCTGAGACACCCCCAGCTGAGCTACTGTGACTGCATGAATTCAGAGAATTTATCACTCAGCCTCACATTTTAGGAAAATTATATAATTTAAAAAAAAACCCTAAATAACATAAGTCATTAAAATAGACACAAGAAGAAAGAGCCCACCTAGGTGCTTTACCATGCATAATTGCAATTAGTGGCTTGCCACGTTATGGGCTTCTCTTTAGCCTAGTATGAAAGGGAAATTATCAATAAACCTTTAGAACCATATGAATTTCATGGAATTAAAGGATTGTTGGTCTGGTCATAGAATATATGTAATAGTAATAATAAAAGTAGAAACAAACTTAAGAGTTAACATTTATTAATAACCCACAAAGTACCAGGCACTAGGCTAAGCATGTTACTCCATTTAGCTCACATATGCTAAAAACACCCATAAGTGGCAGTTCAGTTCAGTTCAGTCGCTCAGTCGTGTCCGACTCTTTGTGACCCCATGAACTGCAGCACGCCAGGCCTCCCTGTCCATCACCAACTCCCGGAGTCCACCCAAACCCATGTCCATTGAGTCAGTGATGCCATCCAACCATCTCATCCTCCGTCGTCCACTTCTCCTCTGCCTTCAATCTTTCCCAGCATCAGGGTCTTTTCAAATGAGCTAGTACTTCACATTAGGTAGCCAAAATATTGGAGTTTCAGCTTCAACATCAGTCCTTCCAATGAACACCCAGGACCGATCTCCTTTAGGAAGGACTGGTTGGATCTCCTTGCAGTCCAAGGGACTCTCAAGAGTCTTCTCCAACACCACAGTTCAAAGGCATCAATTCTTTGGCTCAGCTTTCTTTATAGTCCAACTCTCACATCCATACATGACCACTGGAAAAACCATAGCCTTGACTAGAGGGACCTTTGTTGACAAATGTCTCTGCTTTTTAATATGCTCTCTAGGTTGGTCATACCTTTCCTTCCAAGGAGTAACTGTCTTTTAATTTCATGGCTGTAGTCACCAACTGCAGTGATTTTGGAGCCCAGAAAAATAAAGTCAGCCACTGTTTCCAGTATTTACCCATCTATTTGCCATGAAGTGATGGGATGCAAGGATAATTAGTTTGTGCATTTTAACTAAAGATCACACATCTAGTTTAATGTGATGGCCCTACTCTGACCCTCCTGTACATACATGTACTTGGTATGATTAACTTTCTCTGCATATTACAGGCCACACATGATTATGATATAAGCAGTGGGTATTTTCAAGAAACTTTACACACCTTTGAGGACAGGATCCACTGGTCCAGCCACAGGGCCCTCTGCCACTTGGAACATAAGTGACATGGTTGTCCAGTACCACTGTTGGAGATAATCTGGTATGTACATAAGCACACCAGTTCCTAAGGAAGAGATCATTTACATTAGGAAAATATTATTTTCAGAAAGCATTCTTTTCATCAAGATTATTTTCATAGACCTATGTCTACTGCCACTACTATATATTAGATATCTTGAAAATTTGATATCTAGCTTTAAAATATCTAGAAATGAGAGAAAACATGCCTGTTATTGCATGACTGTATTTATGGATAATAAACATTGTAAGATCAAAGTAAATTAAGAATAAATCATAGCTAAAACCAGAATCTCTACTGTTGAGCTATAAGCTAAGTCAAAATCCAAGATTGCCCTTATGCAAATTATCAATATTAGACTGAGATAGTGACTCAGACCTAGACCCATTGAACAATATGTAAGACAAATGTAAGCAAATGAATGGTGTAAAGTTCAAAAGAGAAGAAAAATTGTTATTAGGCACAGGTGACATGATTGTGAATGAAGAAAATATAGTCCATGTAAATGATTATAATAAATGATTTTAGCAATTTAGTGAAGATTAATGTCAATATTTTTATAATTAATAAAAAGTTTAGCCATATGGCTAAGATCAGTTATAGTTACAATAGCAAAAATAACATTAAGCTTATTAAATTTTAAACAGCAGGTAAAATATTGACTGACTTAAACCAGTTTGTATTCTTAAATACATCATTGATTAATCAAATGGAAATAGCACTGGCCTAAAGGGGTCTTGCTTCCTTGAGCAGACTGTTGGTTAATGAAACCTTGATTTATTTCACAGAGACAGCACTGGGCATATGCAAGACAGGAACCCTTATCTCCAGAATAACTGCAGGATCAAGAATCTTTGATTTGTGGAACTCAATAGGACAGAAATGTTGCTACTTGAGGCTTTCATGAAATGAGAAGTTTTTCAATCAGGAAAATCTGGCTTCCAGCAGCAGAGGGAGCGTATATGGACTAAGTCAATCAGGTTCAAGACTAGTCAATCAGGTTCCAAGTTTAAAATTTCCCTAATTCCCCTAAATTTCACCCTGAGCCCTGGATGCAGGAGACAGCCAGTCAACCTTGCTTCTATCTTCTCAAAAGCTGGTTACCTTGGCTTCTGTGCTCAGTGGAGAGGGAGCCCTTGCTAGGTAAAGATTTTGGTGACGCCAAGGGACAGAAATATCATGACTGTCTGCCACAGGCACGGGGGCACCATGGTCCCTGGCCACTGACCCGAAGCGGCCTCCCAGACCAAGCTTGTCTAGGGGTCAGCAGTCAGCTTCCTGTACCCTGCTGCTGCTCTCCAGGCTCCTCGGTGCCGTTTTCACTTCTGAGAGGAGAAACTGCTCCAGGATAAGACGTCTTTAGGGTGAGTGACCTTGTTAAAAGGTGCCTGTGCTGAAATTGTGCTGAAACCTCCTCAGGATTGTTAGATTCCCGCCCTAAGGGGAATTTGCTTCCCTGGTGGCTCAGGCGGTAAAGACTCTGCCTGCCACTTAGGAGACCCGGGTTCAATCCATGGGTCGGGAAGATTCCCCTGGAGAAGAGAATGGCAACCCACTCCAGTATTCTGGCCTGGAGAATCCCATGGACAGAGGAGCCTAGTGGGTTATAGTCCACAGAGCGGACAGGACTGAGGATCAAACACTTCCACAAGGTAGGGTGGGAATTAAAGGCTGCTGAGGTACTCAAAGGATTGAGTCCCAGGCTTTTGAATTTCTTTGTCCATGCTTGTCTGTGTTTATTTTGTTAGGCTTGGTTAATAGTCATTGGCTCTTGGAATGACTGCTACCAAGTGATAAACTTGATACATTAAAAAAAAATTGTATTTATCTATTTTAATTTTGGCTGTGTCCTGTCTCCCTTGCGGCTCACAGGCTCTAGAGTGCAGGCTCAGTAATTCCAGCAAACGGCCTTAGTTGCCAGAAGGCATGCGTAATCTTCCCTGACCAGGGATCAAACCTGCATCCTCTGCATTGGAAGGTAGTTTCTTATTCACTGGACTCCCAAAGAAGTCCCTAAACCTGGTATTAATGAGGGCCCTCTGATTCAGGAGAAGACGTTGCTCTCTGACTAGAAACTTTGCTTTCTGCAGGGGTTGGCTTTTCACTCATGCCTGTATGATTGCCTGGAGGTATAGATGTGTATTCTTAATGGAACCAGCCCTGATTACTCTGCTGTGTGAGAGAGTCAAGGAGAGATGAGGGAGTGTAAATCAGGAAAACTGCCCACTTCAGAACAAATTCTGTGCATGGGTTAGAAGAATTTGCCACCTAAGACACCTCCTTGGTATCATTTTCCTCTGGTCTTCCTGAGGCGTAGGGGGGAAAGTTCCAAAATGGGGTACCTCAACCATTTACTTGCAAATTTAATGGGAAAAGAAAAGAAGTATGTGATCATACCAATCGGCCTAAGGAGTAAGCATAGGAAAAATAAATGGGAAATACATGAAGTAAAATTAATAAAATGGGAACTAGAAGAAAAATCATCGATTTCCAACTTGGTCAGCATGATATAAGACACCCATGAGCCTTTAGAGTGAGTTAATGAAAGAGATTAAAGAAAGAAAACAGGTGGGGCAATATTATTAGACAAATAGGAATTTAAGGAAGGTTGAGATAGTTAAAGCAGTAACAGGAAAAAAGAATTTTATGTAATTACTTGCAGTTTAAATAATGAATATGGTAGTCAACTTGGCCTACACTTAGCCAGCTATAAAACAAAGCAAAAAAACACCTTCCAAAACACAAATAAAACTTTAAGAGAATGCTTAGTAAGCTCATTGAAAATAGCAGTTAAGTAGTATTAAATACATCTAAGAGTGACTGGAGAAAGTTGAATTATCTCAAAGATGGAGACACTTTCTAATGGAGATATCTAAGAATCATTTGGTTACAGAACTCTATCAGTAAGTTTGTACCTGTCCTTGCTTATAACATGGCTCTTTCAATTATGTGCTTTTATTCTTTAAATGGTAATATGTTCTTGCAATTCTATATAAAACTTCCTACTGTATATATGGTATATTGAAGTTATGAAAAACAACAACAACAAAAAAATGGCTTTCTTTTGTTACACAGCATAGCTCTAACATCAGCTGGAGTCTGAGGAAAATGCCAGAGAATGGCACTCTCTTACAATTAGACTTCTCTTGTAAAAGAGGAAAAATGGGAGGAAATTTGCTTTATCCCTATTTATTGAAAGGGAAGAAGCCTTTATACAATTGCATACATTTTGGTTTATCCTCACTGAGAATTTTAACCTTCTTTTGTATCAGCCAAGCTAGCAGGCATTAAACAGGTTTTAAGTGTGTGTGTGTATATGTATGCAGGGCTTCCCTGGTGGCTGAGCAGTAAAGAGTTGGCCTGCCAATGCAGTAGACACAGATTCCATCCCTGGGTCAGGAGGATCTCCTGGAGAAGGAAATGGCTACGCACTACAGTATTCTTGCCTGAAAAATCCCATGGACAGAGGAGTCTGGAGGGCTATGGTCTCGGGGGTTGCAAAACATCAGACATACTTTAGTGACAAACAACAACATATGTTTGTTTGTCAATATATGGCAGAGAGGAAACTCTGCCAGTAGGAACAAACTTTGGTGGTGGTGCTCAATGCCACAGGCTATAATGTGGAGGAGGCTTTGAGGTGAACGCTTTCTACCTGGAAATTGCCCAGATGTCTTGATTCGCTTGTCTGTGGTCTCTGCTGGGGAGGTAAAATGCTTTGATTTTCTAAACCCCAACATGCTCTGAAAGAAGTGAGCGCTTGATTATTTCAACCTGTTTAGTTGTTCAGTTGTGTCCAACTCTTTGCAACCCCATGCACTGCAGCATCCCAGGCTTCCCTGGCCTTCACTGTCACAACCTGTGTCCTCTGTCAAATTCAGCTTTGAATCTCAGGTAGCCTCCTCACTTCACTTTCTTCAAGGTGATATGGTCACCTCTTCCACCCTCCTCATCAGGTAAGCTTTCAAGGTGGTGAGTGAGACAGATCCTCTGCAATAGGCAAGCCCACATCCAGCACGTGGGAAAACTACTGACGGTCCTCTGACCAAGCTGGCGGCAGTCCTGGGAATGCGTGGATGGAGCTCCTTGGCAACTGGATAACACATGTGTACCCTATACTTCCGACAGCCGTCTCTAATGGAAAGGTTCCCAGGGATCCCTGAGTGAGTCCTCACAGCCGCGCGGTTCATCTCTGAGATTGTCGTTCTCTTCAGTGGCATCTTGGGGAATTCTTACAGCCACATCACTGCTGCGTTGGCTTGTTTCTTTCCAGAAACCAAACAAAACTAGGAACTGGTTTCTAAATCCTAAGGTTCAAATAAATAAATCCTAAGGTTCTTACTTTCTCTCTCATGCCTATTGAGGCTGTTTCGTTTCCTTCTTTTTGAGGGGAGTAAGGGAAGCCCATTTTCTCAAGACTTGCAATCCATAGACAATCCATTTGCAATCCATTCTCAGCTCTTGGGTTTAAAACTTAGGATATTGACTGAGCTTTGATGTAGGGGTTGCATGCCCACCCAGGTGCTCTCTCTCTCTTTCTAAACCTTCATTCTTGGAGGGGTGGGCTAACCCCTCAGAACCAGCATTAAGGTGAAGAGTTGGTGAGGAGGGCAAGACTCTACTCTATAAAGGAAAAAGTATGCTTTGAACCCCAGATTGGTGCCTTCCTTCATCTCCGGTGAACTCAAGGGTGCAGCCAACATTGCATCACCCAGACCTTGAGTTTCTGCTGGTAGACACCAGACCCACCCCTTGAATGTGAGAAAAGGCCTTTCTAGGCTCTTGGTATTTTTGCTAGCCAACTAGTAAACTATTTTGAGCACTACTATGGAAACTCTCCAAGCTGTTCTGTTTTAGTTGGGAGAAAAACATCAACCTGAAATTCCTGAAAAATTTCGGGAAGGTAAGTCTAGGTGCTTGGGATGACAGGAGGACAGTAAGAACTAAGTTGGCTGACCCAATAGTAGTAAAAATTCGTCCAGGTGCCAGGACTCCAAATTCAAAGCAATAGCCTTCAAAAGAAGCATGTGGAGGAAAGTATAAAGCCTCTGATAGCCACATTTCTTATATGCCAATTAATCTGACTTTCTTAACCTCCATATAACCCTCCAATCCTGCTTGTACAAAAATTCAGAGAGGGGTCCCTAGCGGGCTTCTGGTTAGGATTCCAGGCTTTCACTGCTGTGATCTGTGAAAGAAAGTGAAAGTGAAAGTTGCAGAGTCCTGTCCGACTCTTTGTGATCCTGTGGACTGTATAGTCCATGGAATTCTGCAGGCCAGAATACTGGAGTGGATAGCCTTTCCCTTCTCCAGGGGATCTTCCCAACCCAGGGATAGAACCAGGTCTCCTGCATTGCAAATGGATTCTTTACCAGCTGAGCCACAAGGGAAGCCCTGTGATCTAGGTTCAATACCTAGTCAGGGAACTAAGATCCTACAAGCCATGTGACATGGCCAATAAATAAATAACAAAAACTCAGGATCAGAGATTATCATTTTTGTACATTTGAAAGCCATTAACCAAACTGTAGAGGATATATATCCTGTGGTGCCAAACACATATACTTTGTAAACAGCTTTATCTAGAGCCTACTGCTGCTTTATAGTTCTGGATTTAAAAGATGCTTTTTACTACGTAGCCCTGAGTCCCAAGAATTGTTTGCCTGTGAATGGGATGATCCAGAGACTAATACAAAGAAATATTTTTTGGATGGTATTGCCACAAGGATTTTAGCATGCCCCTCCCTGCTGCTGCCTATTTTGGGGGAAGCCTTAGCCAAGGAATTTAGGGATCTTCAATTAATGGAGCTTTAATCTAATATGTGGATGATATACTAATTGCTAGTAAAGTTAAGAAAGCTTCAGACCAAAATATAATCTTCACTTTAAACTTTTTGGTAGACCAGGGATATAAAAGCATAAATTTTCAACCAATTTTAAGATACATAAAATTTGAATTATGAAAAGGGCAAACAGACTTTTACTGCAAATAGGAGGAAAGTATTGTCTAGAGTAGCTGTACTCACTATTAGATGGCAATTGTGTGGATTCTGGGGAATGGCTGGGTTTTGTCATATTGGGATTCCCAAGTTTGGACTTACAGCTAAGCAGTTATATGAGGCTCTTAAAGAAAAGTGAGCCATTAGGATGGAACTTTTAACATTTTACTGGAGGTTTTATTCAGGGTAATTGGGGAAGAGTAAAAAAAAAAAGTGGATCCATACTAAAAAGGAAGAAGTAAAACTTATATTTGCATATTTCTTGCATGTAGAAAATTCTGAGTCCACTAAAACACTACTAGAGCTAATATGCAAATACAGCAAGGTTGCAATATATGAGAAATAGTTGTGTTTCTACACATTAGAAACTATTCAAAAAATGAAACTAAGAGAGCAATTCCATTCACATTAGTATCAAACTAATCATGTCCTCATGAAACATTTAACAAAGGAATTACAAAAATTACAAAATATTGTGGAAAAAACTTAAAGGTGACATAAATAAATA